CGTGACGGGCTAGTTTGAATCCGAACGCGAAGATTTCGAAAAAAAGAAACCAAAGGAGAATGGATGGAATCGTCGACGTTGGAAAATAATTACGTAGCGGCATGATCGATAGCGATTTCGAGGTGGCGAGCAGATGGATCGTTCGCGACTCGAGCTTTTATCGGCTCCTCTCTCTTCCGTAAAAACTTCCCCAAAGACGATAATACTGACGTAACTCGACGGTGCCCGGTTTGTTGTTCTATATCGAAAAGCTTTCAACGGCTTTTAACGAATTCTATTAATTTCAACGTTAACGCAAAATCGAATCGGAAGACCGCGCCATAGTTTGGCTCCGGCTTCGCGAAAAGCAAAGTTGGTCCTTCCACGACGTAATCCAATTGCCGCCAAAGTATTTCGAGAGTGGACGGTTGCGCCGAAAGGAATATCAGCGTAGCTCCTAAGCAGCAGAAAAAACACGGCGCGATGAAACTTTAGGAAAACTGCTTATTCCGCACGCGCGATCCGTCGTCGTCGCGCACACGAGTCTTTGAAAGCTCGCGTTCAAAGCCGTTCCACTACGTTCTGTCCCCGCAGAATCGAAAGAAAGCGAGCGGATTCCTCGCGGAAAATTATACTTTCGAGAACTGGGGCGAATCTACTCTGTCTAGATTCGAGTTCCGAGTCGGAGCGTTGCCTCGGCGGGCGTGAGCGAGCGACGACAAACAAAACGATACGCGGAACAGTGGCTGATTGGAACTGGCAAACACGAATTTACCTCACGGCCAAACTCCTCGAGAACGAGCAACAATTAATTTAGCATCCGCGTTCGCGGATAATGAGACCGACGTTCCGCGCACGGCCGGAAACAAGCGAATTAATTAACCGACCGATCGGAGATCTCTGTCGCGGTCGAATGACTTCTCTACCGCTTCTTATTAGACGTACGTAGATTTTTGTCGCTCCTTGTGTCCGTCCTAGACGCTTCGTCCGCCGATCTTTCCCGATCGCGATTATTCGAAGCTTCGTTGACGTTGCGACGCATGCGACCGATCGTTCAGCTTTTGACGATCACGTAGATTTACGCTATTTAAATAAATGCGATCTACCGATTTATTCGCGTTGAATATCGAGAAAACAGCTTTTGCCGGGTTACGCGCTATACGCAACGCAGTGACAGATTGTAAACGGGAATTCGAATACTCGTGGTTCTGCGATAGAAACCATTCGATTCCCATTGGAACGTGATAGAAGACGAATCGATAAGAGGAGAAAATTCGAAAGTTAGACGCGTAAAAGTGGAAGAAGCGAAATAACGGAACGCAACGACGGATCGATGATCGTAAGGGAAAAAATGGGAAACGGGAACACATGGAACAGCTACGTACGGTTTAACGGGAAAATACATATACACGATACGATATCGGCGAAACGCTGGCAAGAAATTTCAAGACAGGAAGATTATTCTTGGAGAAAACTGCAACACGGCAGTGTGTAACGTTATTACTCTTCCACCGAAAACATAAATTTCCTCTCGAGATATCATCGTCCCGGGGAACGTCGCTTTCGGCTTACCGGTCTCTCGGATAGATATTCGATCGCGATCGTTGCGAGTCGGAAGAAACGGATAGACCAGACACGAGACAAGTATCTGCTTCGTAACAAATGTCGGAGAAACGAAAGGATAACGATGAATCACGAGTCGTATAAAATGAATTAATAGAGGCTGTCCAGAGCCGGTGGTATTCGTTTAAATTACAAAGTTTCAACGTACGTACCATATATCGGTATAGCGCGTAATAACACGGAATAGCGAGAACAAGAGGCTGATAAATGACACCATGGTAAATTAACCTTTCAAAGGTCTGCCGAAAATAAAGGTGTAACGCGGCAAGCTATGGGGCGGAAGCTGAACAACCTTTCGAAAGAGACTTCGAGTTGATTAGCGAGCGGGATCCTAATTAAGTAAGTTAACGCAATTACCATGCAGGCAGCCGCAGCGTCCGTAAGTCGGAACCCGGTTCGTTAGCTACTTTTGAAGTAACCCCCGTCTCGGCTCGCCAAATTTACGAATAATGTTCGCTCCGTGTAAATTTTCGGCTCGACCGAATGCAAAATGCCCGACCACTGGCCACACCCTCCGCCTCCCCCCTGCCCGCCTCTTCTATCAGCCGCGAGAATTTCCCTCGCGTCTCTGCCGCGTCTAATTCGAACGAATTAAACGCGCACTTTCCTACGCGTTTAAAAAATGCTTCGCCAAAGGTACTTGGAAGGGAGAAATTTCGCGGTTAATTTCAACCACGCTGCTAACGTAACAGAGTTTCTGCGTCGTTACGACGTTCGAAGCGCCGTCGTGACGGCGATCGTTCCTCGACGTAAATATTCCCGTGGTTTTTATCTCGCAACTCGTTCTTTCGCCAATTACCTCCTAAAGATTCCACTTGGTTCGCTCGGCCGATTTTCGTTTTCCGGAACAAGCTTCAAAGTTTCCGTTTCTCCGTATCGGATGATGTCACGATATACGTATAAATTAATTCGCCGAGTGGCAAATCGTCTTTCGATCGTGCGATTAGATTCGGCGAAAAATTAGCCACGGCACGACACCTGTTTGATCCAAAGTAAATGAAATGAAACGCGGAAAGCGAGAGGTTTCGCCGATTCGATCCTATCGCGGACTACCGTGACAATGCAAAACGTTTTTCGTCCCTCGACGCTCCAGGCGTTTAATAATCCATAGCGATGTCGAATAAATAGGAACGGTTACTGCGTTATAGTACGCTTTCAAACAAATCGACCGAGTAAATTGTTTTTTATGGTAGCACGGTTGATCCGTCGAAATCGCTTCTCGCGCCACTGCAAAAGGAACCTTCGTTTCGTCATCGTCGATTAACGTTTCCTTCGGTGGAAATACACCAACACCGCTTTCATCGAGAACGCAACAGCATTTCCATCCGTACAAAAGGTTACTATCGCATTCGAACCACGTGTCGCCAATACGAGTAACCGGCTCGCCTTTACATCTTCGAATTGCGATAATTGCTACTAACCTGGGCTCGGCTATACCGATTATTCGACGATGTAACGAACCTTTTTCTTTGCCACCGTTAGCGAGGAAGAAATTGAATTTCGATCTCAATGTTACGCGTACTCGATTGGGTGTTGGATATCGGTGCTCTTCGATCGCGATCGGCTGACTCTTTTTTACGCGAATTAGCAAAGATATTCGTGCAACACAGGAACTCGAGGTAGATCGATCTTTTACTTTCATTCGTCAGCAGTTGGATGTTTATCCGTCGCAGTTGGAATCTAGATTAAGCGAGCATCTATGGAAGAACGTCGTTCGATCTCTAAAAACGTTGTGACGCGTGTCAAACAATTTGAAAAAGGACAGACGTCGCTAGAGTAACGGAAACGTTGTCCGATAAAGCAAGAGAACGCTCTCCGGTAAAACGAGAACCTTCTCCGATAAAACAAAGAACTTTCCAACTTTTTAATGCGAATTCGCGCGAGAGAAGACGAGGGAGAAATCGAAGAATCCGAGAGGACGTCGGGACCAGGAGGTGGAATGTCAAGCAGGTAGAACAGGGGAAACGCGTTTCGGTAGCAACTCCATCGACGGCGTTGTCTGTCAATGATGTTGACCCACGAGCCACGGTGAGCGAGGGTTATTCGACGTTACGCTATTAGGCAGAGTATTCCGGCACGGAATTGCAAATCCAGCGCGCCACGGGACAATCAACTTGACGAAATAATCCGCGTATAAGGTGTCGCGAAAAAAGCGAGCTCCGCTGTTCCGTGTTTTTGGACGGACGCCAAGCGCGCTTATTAGTCCCTGGACTCGCTCCGTTTTAATTTCCAAGCCGGTACAACCTGTGAACTTTGAAGCTCGCTTAATAACACGGCCTGTGCTTATTCGTCGCGCTCGCTCGTACATTTGCTAGCGAAATCGCAAACAGAGCCATCAGGCTTATGGATCCGATGATACAACCGATCTATCTGACTAACGTGGCTATTGAAAAATATTTATAACGCTTTCTCTGGATCGATCGATACGACGCAACGATCGTTAAGGACATAGTTAGCCCAATTAACAGCTGACCGCGATAAGCAACTAACGCGCGTAAAACGTAACACGGTTGTAGTTTATTAGACGAGATCGAAACCGATTAGCGTTGGCTCGCCAAATTGACAGTATGAAAAGTTCCGATTCGCAAATAGAAAGCAAGAAACAATAGCGTTATCGAGTAACCATCCTCGTCGAACCGGTATTCAGGGATAAAAAACGATCGATCGATCTATGCGCGATCATCGTTCGCGACACTCGTTCGATCGTCTAGCCAACGATTTTACGAGTACGATTGCGAGACGATTGGCAGAGAGGTTCTTTTTATTATTTCTGAACATGTCAACGATCACGTTCGTCGAGGCGAGCGTTTTATTTTAGATGCGAATCGCCGTACCTCGTCGAGTTCACTTGGGCCAATTGCTTACCAATTCGATTCATTTTCCGATGCAATTTCATCTCTCGTTTCCAATGCGCCTACGCTTGTCCTCGATACACGCAACATCCCGACAAGCTACTTTCGTATTGGAAAAACTCGGCTCCACCGAAACTCCAAATCGTCGCGAATACGCGCATTTTATAATTGCTCCGTTTAACCAGACTTTGTCGAAATAACGATTATCGATTCTCCAAAGTTGCACGGTAACAAGGACATTGTACGTACCGACGTTACTAACTCGACAATTTTTTAGAGCCGTTAAAACAAGATAAAAATTCTAGGAAACGTTCGACTAAACGTCAAACACTCGCTCGGGTGACATCGTCGTAAAACAGCGTGCAAATACGATACGATATTTTTTAAGAGTCGAACGTTACGGTTTACTATATATCGATATGTACTATATATCGATTAACTGCGGCTACCAGGACGTAAAATGTATAAAATTATTGAACGTATCGCAGTTGCTGATACGAACAAGCCTGTGCGATCAGAAGGGTGAAAATAATTTGCGTGACTCACCGTTCGCCTAAGGACAGTCCTAATGGTCTCGACTTCTTGTCTCGTCGGCCAACGGGCATAGACCACGCCGCTGAGCAGCAGGACAAAAACGGTGATCCAGATCGTCCATGCCAGGACGTTCCTCGTTCTGGCAAGAAGCTTCTGGGCGGTCCGCGTCGAGATCACTTCTTGCGGGGGGATCTCGAGCTTCTGCGCTTTCCTAAGAATATCCTGGAGTCGTCTCTTAGCCTGCTCTACATCCGGCACCCCCATTTTCTTTATGTTTATCGCGCCTCCACCCTGTTCGTCGATCCGCGCTTCGAGCTTTGACCTCGCAGGATGGTACCCTCCCTCGGTGACACGATTCAGGATGGAGACGTTAAGAAAAGTACGGCTGCAAACGCGTCTCGTACAGGTTCATCCTCGTAGTAACGGCCGGAGCGTCGAATTCCTGGAAAATTTCATTCCGTATTCGTTTCCTCCCTAATTTCCCTTCTACCATAAATTCTTTAAGCGCGCCTTTCAAACTCTACCGGCTATCCGCGTGTCTTTCGAATCGGGTACGATTCGACA